TGCAAAGTTCAAAAAGAGAACTCCCAGAATGACCACCAACTGGGAACTCTTTGGTACTATTGCGGCAACATGGGAAGATGCCATTGTTGACAACATTGACAAGGAATACGATCCACTGGTTCAGCACTTCCATGAATGTGCGAGGAACGCCAACAGAGAGATAGCCACAAAAAATTGCCTATCTTCGAAAACTCTCGAGCTAATTTGCCAGCGTGGTTTGGCGCATGCCTCAGGCAACCGCAAGCTAACATCTGAGCTCGCAAAGCAGTGCAGAGATGCGATCAAGGAAGACCTCAAAGAGAGAAGAGCAGAAGTACTGGTAGATGCGGCAGAAGCCGGGAAAAGTATTCGTAATGCCCGCCTGTCCTTCGCCAACTACAAGACCAAGATGACTGCCCTCCGACGTCCTGATGGATCCATCACATCCTCCAGAACGGCAATGGAGAAGATTATCCATGACTTCTACTCAAATCTCTTCGATAGCCATGTCCACTTGCCGACATACCAAATTCCACAGGATGGATATGTCGTTCCCAACGTCCTCCCTTCCGAAATCCGACACGCCATTTCGTCGGTAAAGAAACAAACAGCACAAGACAAGGTCAGACCTGAACACCTAAAGAACCTGCCATCAGTACTCATCAATACACTGGCTCGGCTCTTCACTCGCTACCTGTCTTTAAAATATTAAGATATTGATATCAAAACAAGCTTTAATAATATATATATATATATATATATATATAGGAAGGCCTACCAGCAAGTTGGCACAGCAGATCTACTGCTCTAGAGGAAGAGTTGAAGAATTAAAGGAAGCAAGAGGGGGGTCGGAGTGATAGCACAGCGGGTAGGGCATTTGCCTTGCACACGGCCAACCTGCGTTCAATCCCCAGCATCCCATATGGTCCCCCAAGCACCTCCAGGAGCAATTCCTGAGTGCAGAGCCAGGAATAACCCCTGAGCATCGCTGGGTGTGACCAAAAAAAGCCAAAAAAAAAAAAAAAGTAGGAGGAAAATAAGAGGAAACATGAAGAAATAATGCAGAATTCACCCATGACTTAACATGGACTGTGGGGCTGGACCATAATTTCATCTTTATCTCTCCCACATGATCAGTCTCCTCTTCTTTCCCCCCCATTAAAAAACAAAAATCATGATTATATTTTCAACAGGTGTCCCTAATCTGAAATAACCCTCTGGGTGAAACTGCTGACCTGAGCCGAAGTTTTCAAACCTTCCTTCTTATTTGAATCACCTACAAAGCTTTTAAAATTCCCAATGTCTTTCTAAGATTTCTAATAACATGGTTGATGGCCAGACCACAACCATGACCAATAACATTAGATCATCTCTAAGAGGAGACCCAGACATCAGTATAGTAAAGTCTGTCCAGGAGATTGCAGTGTGTGGTCAATTTGAGAAACAATGACCTAGAGCAGTTATTTCTCAACCTTTCCCCACCATATACCTTTCCACCCTGCTCCATTTACTTCCTATGCTCCCCATCCCGCTCCTTCCTGTGTTCCCCATTTACTTCCTGTGCTCCTCATTTACTTCCTGTGCTCCCCTGTCCGCGTCCCAATCTCTGGGTATACTCCCATTTATGCAATTTTCACCCCTTGGAATATCCTGCGGCCCCACAGTGGGACAAATAAACCCTAATAGAGGAACACTAACTGATAGGATAGAGAATTGCCTATGTCATTCTATGAGGATAATTCAACTGCCATCCAAATCTTGGATGGCTTTTCACTGGAACAACTCCCAAGTGCCTGCTTTATATCCAGGTGTTTGGCTGTGGATATGGCTGATTTTAGGAACTGAATGACACTTCTCATTTCAGGACAAATAGGACCATTAAAAAAAAAAATAGATCAAGCCCCAGAGGACTTCTGGTGCCAGACTAAGGGTTTTGGATTTTATTCCACAGCCTGTGGAAGACACTGGTTTTAATTCAAAAATATCAGAGTGGTGCTCTGAGGCTGTTTCTCAGGATGCCTATATGATGGCTAAGTTAGGATCTAAGGCTGACACCCTGAGCATCATTGAGGTTACTGAAGTCAATTATAGGAGTTAGGATCTCAAAAAGGAGCGTGGGAATGGAAGTCGAAAGGAATTGATAAATGCAAGAAATGTGCTGGATGAAAATAAACAAGACTTGGCATTCACAACCATCAGTTCTCTCGGTACATACTAATGGTCTTCAAGGACTAAAGAGAGCTAGCCGTGTCTTCCCTGGCTTTTATTCTGTCTCCTGGGTGAAAGCAAGTGTCAGACTCAATGTTACTACACAAATATTTAACAACAAGCAGACTAAACACTACATAAGCAATATTTTGTGGTAAAGGACTAAATTGTAATCTAGACTTGGAGAGTCATTCTGAGAAGTGTCCATCTGACTCAGCAGACTCTGGTTTTTGGGTTTTTTGGTCACACCCAGTGGTGTGGGATGCGGGCAGGAGAGCTCAGGGTTTATTCCTGACTCTGCTCATAGATTACTCCTGAAAGGACTCATGGGCCCATCCATATATGGGGCCAGAGATTGAACCTGGGTCAGTGATGTGGAAAGCAACCTACTTTATAGGTCTCTAGCCCTCAGCAATTTTTTTTTTTTTGCTTTTTTGGGTCACTCCCAGTGATGCTCAGGGGTTATAACTGGCTCTGTACTCAGGAACTGAATTACTCCTGGTAGTGCTTGAGGGACCAAATGAGATGGCAGGAATCAAACCCAGGTCGGCCACGTGCAAGGCAATCCAAATCTTGGCTTGAAATGTACCCACTGTACTATCACTCCAGCCCCAAATTCTTATAAAACATTTGTGCAGAGAAGAGCACCTGTACATATTCTGTCCACCACTGTATCAAACATTTCTTCCACAAACAAAAATTCTTTCTATCCTTTACATTAGTAACCTACCTCTAGTACTAATTTACCTAGTGCTATCAGAAGCACTGGTGTGTTCAACATCTTGGTGAGGAATCCTGAAACTTTCGAATGTTAGTAACTCATTCTGGAGCATGCAGGTTATAGTTAACCATAAAACACATACATATCTCATTGAAATATTCTGCCAGATAACAAGCATCAAATATAGTATTAAGGCCACTATGCAGAAGACCATGTGTACGGAAGATGAAAAAGCACTGTTTGACTGAGAGGTCTTAACTGGCTGATTTAAGCAGGAATTGGTTAAAGGATATTGGGTGGCTTGGGAGGTTGCTAGAGTGAGATTTAGATCTACCTGGGCAGAGAAACAGTAAGACCAGATCACAGACCTGAAGAGAGGTGGTTCAGGGGCTACATTGCCTAAGCTCAGGCTTCTTGAATCACTGGTAATTGCTAATACTGGAAACCTAAAATTACCTCTAGAATCCTTCGTATTCACTACTTAGTTCCTGAACTTCCCTGCCATAACCAGGCAGTGTCGCTTTCTCTGCATGCGCTTGTCCCCAGGAGCTAGTATGTGGCATTTCCCACCCAGTCCCTAGATGGGGATACTTCCCAGAATGGAAGAACTTCAGAGAATAGGCATGGAAAAATAAAGGGGTGAATGTTTATTAAAAGCAAGCTGAAAGCAATGACAATATATTCAAGTAGTATTATCTAGCAAGTGGTTTAAATCATTTCATTGGGTGCTTCCCAGCAAGTTTGAGAGTTGGGTAATAACCGGAGTTACATAGGCGTTGTGGAGAGAATCTAACTCAAATGTTTCAGTGTGCTTATAAATACCTGAGTCACTGTAATGTAACGCTCATCCTGACCCCTCCAACATCTATGAAAATGAAGACATTTATATTGTTAAGAGAGGCTGGGACAAGAAGATAGATATACAAAGAGAATGAGATAGCTAAGAATCTATTTTTGAACTGTTTATTTAAACCACCATTCCAGTGCCGGTTGTCCATCGGGTACTAAGCTAGGCTGGTTTAATGTAAGCGAAATCTAACTTGGCCCAGCATTTATGGAAATGAAGGGCAAGCAAGGGAGAATGAGGCCAGTCAGGCTGGAGATAAAAAGGGCCCCGATTGCACAACCCGTCTGCAGCTGTTTCAGGATTTTGAACTTTATTCTAAGCAGAGTACACCAAGCACTGGCTTTAAGGTTTTGAGGGATTTGTTTGTTTGGTTTTTGCATAAATCTCAGTTAATCCCTAGCAGAACCCTGCAAAGCAGGTACCATCAGCATTTCGATTACTTAAGAGGAAACTGGCGTTCACAGGGATTCACTGACCTAAGAACTACCAGCACTAAAAAAACGATGATGGGGACAGGGTTAGGAGAGCAACAGCTTCCTAGAGAGAAAAGAGAAATCTATAGTTTGGAGACCAGGCCTATTATTAGGTGGAGGGGGAGGGGAGGATTCCACACTTTAATATTGCCAACATCTTTGCAAAAGGGCGGTTGTTTTACCTTTCTCTAGAAAAGGAAACCGAGGTCACACAGAATGAAATTCCACAGGTCCACCGGCCCTGGGCACAGTCTTATGTCCGCTGAGACTGGGTGCCTGGTAGGTGAGGATCTGCAGAACACCCTGGAGAACCAGTGACCCGTGAGGGTGCAAAGATCTGCAAGAGCCACGCAGTGCCAACAGTCTGGCACTGAGGCCCTGGGTGTTGAGGTGGGAGGCCAAAAAGCGAGGTCCGGGCGTTAAAGAGAATCTTAAAAGATCAAAGCCGGGGAGAGCGGGGCCTTGCAGGAGCGTGGGCTTGGGCTCGCGGCCCGCAGATTCAAGAGCGGCCGCGCCTCCAGCCGCGTTTACGGTGCACGTGGAGCCAACCGGCCCGAGGACGCGGCCAAGCTGCTCCATGGACAAGCCTGCGCCGTGGTGGGCTTTCCCGCTTCCCGGTGAACTGTGGCTCACTCCAGGCCCCGTTGGCGTTCGGACGCCCGGGGTCGGCCGAGCGCCAGGGGTGGGGCGCAGTGGGATGGGGTGGGGGGGCACCCGGGGCTGCGGAGGAGGCCGGCCCTCGGGGCGGGCGGAAACGCGCGGCGCGGTTTGACCCCAGCGCCGATCCGTACCGTCGCGGAGCCGGCGACAGCAACATGGCGGCCGCGGCCGGGCCGGTAACGGAGAAAGTTTTCCACGAGACGGGCCTGTGCTGACCTCAGTGTGCGGCCTCGGGTCTCCGGTGCTGCCGGCCCGCGTCTCCCCCGACGGCGTGCCACCTCCCACCTTCCGAATCTCGGGCCCCACCCCAGCGTTCCCGAGACCAAGTTTCCGCGGCAGGTAGGGGCGGCCTCGGGGTGGAGGGGGGACGCGCAAGGCGGAGGCGGCGGCGGCGGGGGGTGCAGGCCCCGGCGCGACCTCGCCGACCCCGCCGACCCCGCCCCGCGCTCCGCGGGGTCCCGGCCACAGGCTCCGCCCCGGCAGCCTCCCGGGGCGAAGTTGGCGAGAGGGTGTGGCGGAGGCCGCCGCGAGGTGGGGGGCGACCCCACTCCGCGCCCCTCGCCGCTTCCGACTTTGGATGGGGCGCGCCGCTGTTTGCTCTCGGGGTGTCGCAGGAGGAAGGGGTTCGGGTGCGGCTAATGTGTGCGCGGAGCTGGGCGGGGGTAAGGGAGCCTTGCTCGGGGAGCAGCAGGAGAACAGACACACACACACACACACACACACACACGCGCGCGCGCGCGCGCGCAGGAATACAGAGACACACACACACACACACACACACACATATACCCCTGTCCCCCAGCCTGGGGAGCAGCAGGAATACAGAGACAACCCTGACACACACACACACACACACACACACACACCCCTGCCCGCAGTAATACATAGACACCCCCACCGCACACGCGCACACACACGCGCACACACATACACAAACACATCCAGACCTGCCTGCAGGAATACAGAGATACCCACACACCCCTTCCCCCCCAACTTATACACACACACACAGAGACCTGCCCCCAGCCTCCTGCTAGCTTACATACATGCACACACACAAACACACAGACCTGCCCCCAACCTCCTGCTAGCTCGCTCGCGCGCGCACACACACACACACGCACAGACCTGTCCCCCAGCCTCATGCTAGCGCTCTCTCTCTCTCTCTCTCTCTCACACACACACACACACACACACACCTGCCCCCCAGCCTCATGCTAGCATGCACACACACACACACACACAGACCTGTCCCCCAGCCTCATGCTAGCGCGCTCTCTCCCTCTCATACACACACACACATACCTGCCCCCCCCACCCCAGCCTCATGCTAGCAAGCACGCACACGCACACACGCCTCCTGCTAGTTTGTGCGGAGAGGTGGTGGGGTAAGAGGGACCTTTGCTCTGGGGGCAGCAGGAATCCAGAGAGACCCCCGCCCTATCCAACACATACACACACACACACACACACACACTCACTACCCCCACCAGACCTGCCCCGTGGGGCTTTTTGACTCTTGCCCCTGGATGGGACAGAAACCGCTCCTAAGTGGAGCGAGGGTGCCCGTGCTTGCAGCTGTGCTCTGCGCTCAGGGTCAGACTGGACTCGGACTCGGACCACAGCTCTCCCGGTTGGGGTGAATCCTGTGAAGCAGGGCTCGGGAGCCAAGGAGAAGCGAACCTGAGCTGTGTTGCGTGCACTCTCCCGCTCAGCAGCTGTTCTTGGGGGGGGGGGGGGGGGGGGGGGAGCGGGGGTAGGCTCCCAGACACTTGATTCATTTCTCCCTGTGTATCCCGGTCCCCGGCAGCCAGCTCACTATTAACTCGGTCCGCGCATCATATCTAGAGCACGTCCCACACCACCTCCTTGGTGCCGGGCTTCCCTGCTGAACTTTGGGTGTAGACCCTCCCGCGGGCAACCTTGCAAGAGCACCGCCTCGAGTGAGACAAGCAGGGCTTAAGCAAGAGATAGCCGTCTTGCTGTAGTAGAGGAAGTAGGAAGTAAGGCAGCAGCTTGGATCCGGGGAAGTCAGCCCTTGTAAATGAGCAGCCCAGGTCTGCGGTGGCTGAAGCACAGGAAACCGCATCTGTGTGGTTCAGGAGTGACTGGCACTGTGTCTGGATGACAGGAAAAAAAAGGGAAAATGACCTGGAGAGAGGTAGGGGGAAGCACTTCACCTGTGTGGAGGACCTTTCTTGCACCAGGGACTGTAAGGAGTTTCACACTTTATGGCTTAAAGGTGAAGGGAAAGTGTGGTACAAAGCCACATGAACTGTCAGTCTGAAAAAGGGCTTTCTTGGAGAAAGGTAAGCGTGGGTAGAGTGTTCCGGCACCAGCCCTTTAGCCAGATGGGAATGGTGACCTTGGTGATATATCTTGAACCCTTGCTGATACAAAGAAGAAGCATTGGACAAGTGTCTGGGAGGAAGAGTAGGCAGGATTTGGGGAGGACTGAATCTAGGTGGGAAAGGAGACAAAGGTTAGCTTTGTGCAAGAGGTTTGATAAAACAGGACCCCAGCATAGACTGCGATAACATTTCCTTTGCTCAGAGCCCTGCCCTGGTGAATTTCCCAAGTGAAATGCCAAGGTTAGTGACTGCAGGCCCATTGAAAAGGATTATAGTGCTCTGTTTTACACTCAGTCTTTCAGGCTGTATTTAAACTTTTTTCCTTGGGTGCCTAGGCCTTACTCCTAACTCTGTGCCCAGGGATCACATCCTGGTGGGACTGAGGGTACCATGTGAAACCTGGGTTGACCACGTGCAAGGTAATGCGACCTACCCCCTTGTACTGTGGCTCAGGTCCCTGATTCAGGCAGTTTTTAATAGGATATAAAAGGGGAATGGCTTGAAGAGGCAAATAAAAATTGTTACCTGCCATGTTGTTTTAACCTCTAAGAGGGTGACTGCTTGCATTTTATGATGTGGCTATGCTTGCATGACATACTTTGTTCTGTTTACATTCACCTAATTTCCACCTTTTATTTGTTTTAGGGGAGTGTCCGCCCAGACAGGGCCATTGATTCTTTGCCCTTGCTGTGCAGCTCAGACCCTGTTGCTGTGCTGCTTGGGCCTCTTTGGATTGAGGGCCACCTGACAGAACCCTGGGAGATGGTTTAAAACTTTTTCCCCCCTATCAGATTAATTCATATGTGTCCTTAGGGAGGGAGATAATAGTTCATGGCATCGGAATGAATGAGATGGATCGTAGAAAGTGTGTAGATGGGAGAAAAGCTTAGATTTGGCACTGGACATTGGGAGGATGAATTGAGAAGAGCCTATAAGACCATGTGGGAGTGGACACTAATTAGGAAGAATACCACGAGACTGGTCTTTGGAAGCTAAAGAAGGGGTGTTGAAGGTGTGTAGGATATTGAATGACAAGTATCCATTGGGTTTAGGAATTAATAGATCAGTTCATAGTGCATCAGGGCAGTTTATTGTTACATGGTGGGAACCACCATTTTGTGGGATGAGCACTGTAGCACTGTCCTCCCATTGTTCATCAGTTTGCTTGAGAGAACAGCAGTAATGTCTCCATCATGAGACTTGTTGCTGTGTTTGGCATATCAAATACGCCACGGGGAGCTTGCCAGGCTTTGCTGTGCGGGCGGGATGCTCTCAGTAGCTTGCCGGGCTCTCCGAGAGGGACAGAGGAATTGAACCCAGGTCTGCCACATGTAAGGCAGATACCCCACCTGCTGTGCTATCGCTCCAGCCCAGTGGGATGAGAAATAGAGTAATTAAATATTACCTGTCAAGGAAAGAGGATGTTGGAGTTGGTAAAGTAACTGACAATTGTATTTGTTTTATTTGATATTCCTATTTGTAGGATTTTAATGGGAGTTTATAGAAGAGATTTACAACTATTTAAATTGGTAAGTGGGGCCAGAGCCATAGTACAGCAGGTTGGGCACTTGCCCTGCCTGCATCTGACCTGGGTTTAGTCCCCAGCACTTTATATTGTTCCTGAGCCCACCACGAGTGATGAACAAAATAAATAGATAAAAGAAGGAATGAGGGACTGGGAGAACCGGGGAGGGGGGGGGGGGGTCGTGGATGGAAGCATGAAGCTTAAAAATTACAGAAGGAGGAGGCCAGAGAGAATATAGTAGGTAAGGTGCTTGCCTTGCAAGCATCCCAACTGGATTTGATCCACAGCTTTGTATATGGTCTCCCAAGCCCCACTACTCTGATCCCAGAGTACAGAGCTAGGAGTAAGTCCTAAGCTAGGAGTAAGTCCTAATCCTGAGTATGTTCCAACTACCACCCCACAATAACGCATAGCCCCCACAGGTTACAGACTGTACTGATGCACAAAACGACTTAAAGATTCAGCCTTAGCTAGAAAAGAGACACTCTTCTCCCCTTGATCAGGATATGGAGTAAGAGTTGGGTTGGTGGTGGTTAGAAGTGGGTTGCGGCAGAAACTCAAGTAATTTCCCTTCTGATGACTCTTGGGGAAAAGTCATCTTGTGAGAAAATGCAGTAGCAAGTGATATCAGAGGTTTGAGAATACGCCCAACATGTTACATACTTATGGAGAATGGGAGAGAGTGCTCACTAGAGAAACAAAAGGAAATCTTGTGAATGTAGAGTGACAGCTGTTTTACCCGGAATGTTGTTTTTTGGGTGGGGTTTTTTTTTTTTTTTTTTTTTTTTGTCTTCCTGCATTTGGACCGGACTGTACCATCAACCCTTTGAGGTTATGTATTCCAACATAATTTTTGAATGATTTTGATAAGCTATAGAAATGAGGTTTTTAAAAAATCAAAATTCAGTGCATTCTAGATCTGAATACTAGATTAATACTGCAGCAGACACTTACCTTTCGTGTGGCCGGCCTGGATTCAATCCCTGGCACCCCAGATGGTCTCTGGGTTCCTCCAGGAGTGATCCCTGAGCCAGGAGTGAGCCTTGAGCACTGTTGGGTATGACCCTAACCCCCCCCCAAAAATTGTACACTATAGATTTTATTAATTTCTCATTTTGGGGGTTGGGGGAGGTTTGGCCACACCTAGCAGGGAAGTGTGTGATCCCCGGGATGAAACACAGGCCTCGGGCATGCAGTGTGTGGGCTCTAGCTGGCCAAGAGCTCTCCTGGAATGTACCACAGGTGCCTTTTTTTTTTAAAAAAATGTATTTTATAGTTCGGGATTTAAAATGTATATATATTGAGCCCATGTTATTTATTTCTGTATATGGTATTAAATAATGATCAGTGTCATGTTTTTATTTCAACCTGTCAGGGAACTTAAGCCTAATATATAATCATCTCGGTTGTCTATTCATCAGTAGGATAGCTTTTTAAAATTTGAATGATAGCACAGTGGGTAGGACATTTGCCTTGCACACGGCCGACCTGGGTTCGAATGCCATATGGTCCCCTGAGCACCGCCAGTGGTAATTCCTGAGGGCAGAGCCAGGAGTAATCCCTGTGCATCACTGGGTGTGACCCAAAAAGAAAAAAAAAAATTTGACCTTGGTTGGGGAGGTGAAAGCAGACTGTAGGGGTTACATGCACCTAACCCTGTTTCTGTCCTCAGCACCACATGATCCCCAAGCATCACCAGGTGTGGTCTGGTGGCCCCCAAGCACAAAGATCCCTATGGTTCTTGGCACTACATGCTAGAGCACCACTATGTCCTGGGGCCCTCATGTCAAACTGACCAGTCCTCAACCCTCACTACTTGAGGGTACTCCCCCAAAAAGTAGAGTTGTAAGATTAACCTTATTGTACGATAACTGTTTGTCAGTATTCACTCATCTCGGTTTTGACTAGAAGGTCGAGAAATATTTTTATTTGGAAGGCAGGCTTGATAGCCAACACTCAGTAAAGGTAAAAAGCCTGGAAGAATCATGACATTTTTGTGGTTTAGTAACTTTAATACTGTTAAACTTTATTTTTAGAAAGTTTACTAGTTAAGCAGTTGAAATAGCATTTTAGAACTGTCTTACAATCAGAAGATAAAACATGTATAATGTGTTTCAGGCTGAAAGTAATGGTTAGTGTTACTACATGCCGGTACTTTTAAAATTGCCAGTGATAAATAGTTTATTCTGTTTAATAGTTTAGTGCCTTTCCATTGTGCTAAGCTTATCTGTTGTAATCTAAATTAAATTGAATTGAGTATCTTACATTTGCTTGTTACTGAAAAACCAGATTTCAAGATAAGAATAGATTTTGTGAATTCTTCACCATCTCTGGAAAAATAAATTCCATTGATGGTGATTCATCATGCAATCCTAGTATATGGTGAGTAAAAATGCACTGAAATTTTTGTTTCAGTATCACGGTCACGGTCCTGCCATTGTTCATCGATTTGCTCGAGCGGGCCCAGTAACATTGTGAGACTTGTTACTATGATGGCATATCGAGTATATCACCGGTAGCTTGCCAGGCTTTGCCGCGCTGGCCAGATACTCTCGGTAGCTTGCTGGGCTCTCCGAGAGGGGCGGAGGAATCAAACTCAGGCCAGCCATGTTGGCTGCGTGCAAGGCAAACGCCCTACCCACTGTGCTGTTGCCCCAGTATACTGTATACAGTAACAATATACTGTTATCGTATTATAACACTTATCGTATTGTGTTATCGTAACAGTATATCGCTCCAGTATCCAGTATCCAGTAACAGTATACTGTTGAGTTTTTAATTCAGAAAAACATGCAAATCAAGTTTTAAACTGGGGTTCAAAATAAACTGTAGGGGCTTGGAGTGATAGCACAGCAGGTGGGGCATTTGCCTTGCAAGTGGCCGACCCGGGTTTGATTCCCAGCATCCCATATGGTTTCACTGAGCACCTCTGGGAGTAATTCCTGAGTGCATGAGCCAGGAGTAACCCCTGTGCATTGTCGGGTGTGACCCAAAAAGCAAAAAAAGAAAAAAGAAACTTACTTTTTTATAATTTTTATAAAGAATATTTACATATGAAAAGTAATTATATAAAATTAATATTCATTTTTTTCCTTTTTTAGATCACTATAAACAAAAATTCTGCCTGTGAAAATGTTGAAATAGAAGCTACAAATACGTTTTGTTTGTTGGATGAAATACAAGGAGTTAATTTTTGGAAAGCCCCAATTGTCAGATACATGTGTAGATCACTGCGCTATTGCTTTAGTCATTGTCTCTATTTAGCAATGACAAGACTGGAAGAAGTAAACCGGGAAGTGAACATGCATTCTTCAGTGCGATATCTTGGCTATTTAGCCAGGATCAATTTATTGGTTGCCATATGCTTAGGTCTCTATGTAAGATGGGAAAAAACAGCAAACTCCTTAATTTTGGTGATTTTTATTCTTGGCCTTTTTGTTCTTGGAATTGCCAGCATACTCTATTATTATTTTTCAATGGAAGCAGCAAGTTTAAGTCTGTCCAATCTTTGGTTTGGATTCCTACTTGGCCTACTGTGTTTTCTTGATAATTCATCGTTTAAAAATGATGTGAAAGAAGAATCAACCAAATATTTGCTTCTAACTTCCATAGTTTTAAGGATATTATGTGCTTTGGTGGAGAGAATTTCTGGTTATGTTCGTCACAAACCCACTTTAATCACCACGGTTGAATTTCTGGAACTTGTTGGATTCGCCATTGCCAGCACAACTATGTTAGTGGAGAAATCTTTGAGTATCATTTTACTTGTTGTAGCTTTGGCCATGCTGCTTATTGACCTGAGAATGAAATCTTTCCTAGCAATCCCAAACTTAGTTATTTTTGCAGTCTTATTGTTTTTCTCCTCCTTAGACACCCCCCAGAATCCCATTGCTTTTGCATGTTTTTTTATTTACCTAATAACTGATCCATTCCTTGACATATATTTTAGTGGATTGTCAGTAACTGAACGGTGGAAACCCTTTTTGTACCGTGGAAGAATTTGCAGAAGACTTTCAGTTGTTTTCACTGGAATGATTGAACTTACATTTTTCATTCTTTCAGCATTTAAACTTAGAGACACTCATCTCTGGTATTTTGTTATACCAGGCTTTTCCATTTTTGGGATTTTCTGGATGATTTGCCATATTATTTTTCTTTTAACTCTTTGGGGATTCCATACCAAATTAAATGACTGCCATAAAGTATTCTTTATTCACAGGATAGATAACAATAGCCTTGATAGAATCATGGCATCTAAAGGGATGCGTCATTTTTGCTTAATTTCGGAACAGTTAGTTTTTTTCAGTCTTATTGCAACAGCAATTTTGGGAGCAGTTTCTTGGCAGGTAAGTGGATGCTTTTTCTGTTATGTAATTGTATGTGATAGTATGCTTGCTTCATGATCTGAATTATTTAAATTGTAGAGTCCAACTTGTGACATAACTCCTGTCTTTTAATTCTTTATTAACAAAGTACTCATAGATAAAGACTCTCGGGTATTACCATTTAGAGAATATATTGTTATTTTTCCTTTTTTACACACAAAGAAACTGGAAAGTCAAAAAAAGCATATCCAGCGTTACTGATACTAGCTAGAACCAGGTTATGCTAATCTCCTTACTGTCACACTTTTTTTAATACCTATATTAATAATATGTATGAATCTATTAAAGCATATTAGGTTCTTAATTACAAATAGAATCTGTCTTAAGGAAAGAGAAGAAATGGGCATGGTGCTGGTACTGCAGATGAGTAACAAATGTCTCTTTTATGAAAGAAAGAGAAGATAGACATGCAAACAGCCAATTATTATCGTGTGGCACATAGTATAATTTGAGTTCTCGACTGGGTTTTAGAGCATAAAGGAGGGTCAGCCCTGCTTGGCATCTGTCATGTAATGGAGCATGGGGAGACTCCCTGGAACATGGTGTTTTCTAGTCAGTGTGGGTTTGTGCCAGGAGTTTATGCAGGAGTCAACTGAATGATGAAAACATCTGGTAAAGGAGAGATAGTGCAGAGGGTAAGATACTTGCCTCACACCAGGCCCACTCAGGGTCGATTCCCAAAACCCCAGATGGTCCTTCAGCCCTGTCAAGGCTGACCCCTCAGTGCCAAGCCAGCCAACCTCTGAGCACAGCCATGTGTGGCCAAAAAACAACCACATCTTGGGTATTGCCTGAGGCTAACTTCCTCACTTTACAGTCTGTGTTAGAGAATGTCCAGATGATGAAGATGTTGAAAAGTCTGAACAAGAGTTTTCCATTCTCTGTCTTACCTTGTTCTCTCCTGTTAGCTCACTATACTCGTTTTCCAAATTGTCCTCATTTAATGCCTGTCTAGATCATCAAAACCTGATAGCCAAGTATATTCTGTCACCAAATTCCTTTTTTTTTCCACTTTCTAGTGTTCAGATATGGTATATTTACTACTGAGGTATGAAAATGCTTTCCAGCAATATGTCCTCAAAGAATTAAAGAGAATCAGATACATTGTATTACTGAAACCCAATCATGAACAGCTTTTTAATGGTGTATCTCATGATTCAACAAAAGGAATTTAATTTAAAAAAAAAGAAATTTAAAAAAAGAGAATCAGTTTCCAAATTCTCACATTCCAGTCTGCTCTTTGACAGAGTTGAGCTTCTTGAAAATGCATCTCAATTGAAATGTGAAGAAGTATCTCATAATGGCTTGATTTGCATGTCTTTACTAAACAGGGTCAGAGGGCTTGCTGGTGTGTTTTGCATGCTGGAGACCTGGGTTTGATTCTCTGCAACCCATGCCCCCCACACACACTCCCCGGAAACCCCCTCCATCAGCACTGTTGAGTAGTTACCAAGTACATGTGACCCAAGTCCTGCCTCCCCAGTCTCCCAAATAATGAAAAACTGAAGAGAACTTTTGATGTATATTTTAGTCATTCACTTCTATTTAAAGGTAAAGGCCCTCCAGTTGTTCGTTGATTTGCTCGAGGGGGCCCAGTAACGTCTCCATTGGAGACTTTGTTGTTACTGTGTTTGGCATATCGAATACGACACGGGGAGCTTGCCAGGCTCTGCCGTGCGGGCGAGATACTCTCGGTAGCTTGCCGGGCTCTCCGAGAGGGGCGGAGGAATCCTACTCGGGTCGGCCATGTTGGCTGCGTGCAAGGCATATGCCCTACCGCTGTGCTATTGAAATATTCAAATTGTTCATTATTAAATTAGGGTATATTAGTCTTCATATAATTAATTTTTTTTTTTTTAAATTTTTGGTCACTGTACCTGGTGGTACTTGAGGATTGCTCCTGCCAGGTGGAACTCAGCTTTCCACATGCCAAGCAGACACTTCTGCCCTTTGAGTTATCTTCCCAGTTCCTGTAATTGACTCTTAAGAGTTTTTATGTTCTAGATACGAGCCTTTATTATATATACAATTTGGACATTTTTTTTTTAATATGTGACTTTTTAAAAATTCTTTGCTTTTACCCTTTATCTCATTTTATTTATTTATTTTTGTTCCACCACCCACTGTGGGTCAGGGCTTACTCCTGGCTCAGTGTTCAGGGATCACTCCTGGTGGTGCTCCAGGATTATATGGTGCCGGGGAATGAACCCTGGTTGGCCATATGCAAGGCAAGTACCCTATTCACAGTATAGATAATACAGCCACTTAGTTTTCTTTTGATATCTTTATGGTAGCTGGTCCTTAGTGATATTGATGTAGGCAGGTAGATAGGGAAAGGCCTTCAACAATGAAACTCAACAAAACTTCTGGGAGGAAAATTCCAAGGCTGATCCACTTTGTGGATACGGATAAGACCCTGAGCAGCAGATCCTGAGGAGATTGGACCCCTCCCCATGAAGGAAATTCCTCAAATACCCAAACTTTAGTGATTCAACCCGAAGAAGACCATCACCACTCCCAACCTCCCTGGCAACCTCCTTAGCAACGGACTTTTACCTAGGAAGAAGCCCCACAGAGGGCAGGTTGGAGAAACTCTATGAAAGCCACCTTGAACAAAGGAAGGGCGCGCATAAGCTGCCCAAGCCCACTTGCTTCTTGTGCCCCGTGGCCGAGCACATGTGGCGCCTACATTTCCTCTCTTGAGATATATACTTTCATTCCTTTGTGTCTGATGGTAGGATGTGTATAAGGCTCTCTCCACCCTTGGGGAAGCCCGCATTCTCTCTTGAGCGTGTCACTCTCCCTCTCTCACTTTCTCTCCCTCCACACTTTAAAACCCAACAAATAAAATCTATTACTTCACTGCTTGTCTACTCCTGAAATTCTTTTCTACAAGGTGAGAGAAGAACCCAGTAACCCTGGGTCCTGGGTGGCAGAGGCAGCTGGGGAGAAAGTGACCCTCTTTCTCCTCCCCACTTCACATAAGTCACCCGTGGGGCCTACTGACATCAATATTTTTTTGAAGAATATAGATTATGTGATAGTTTCAGTTTTTATATAGGCTATTTAGTATTTGTAAGAGATTTTTTACTCAGCCTTAGATTAAAAGATTTATCTGTTTTATAAAAATTATTTTTGTTTTTAGGTTGTAAGATACATTTAAATTAATTTGAGTGAGGGGTTCAGGGTCATGCCTGGTGATGCGCATGTCTTAACTCTTGGCTCTCTGCTTAGGGAGTTCTTGAGGGACCCTATACAGTGTCAGGGATTGAACTGGAGTTGACTGTGTGCAACCCAAGCACTTAATTTTCTTTTTTTTCTATTTTTTTTTGGTCACACCCAGCCATGTTCAGGTGTTACTCCTGGCAGTGCTCTGGGGACCACATAGGATGCGGAGATTGAATCCCAGTAGGCCACATGCAAGGCAAACATCCTGCCCACTGTACTATCACTCTGACCCCTAAGCACTTAATTTCTATACCATCTTTTCAGCCTGTTAATTTTTGTTTGTTATATGAGATGTAAGGATGTTTTTGTTTAAATAGGGCTTTGCAATTGTTCCAGCACCGTTTATTGAGAATGTTATCCTTTTCCCCACTGAATTTCCAGAATTGAATGTAAATATGACTTATATTTCTGAAGGTTTGTTGTTATTTTTTGTTTGATTTGGTTTTGTTTTTTGAGCCCTGTGTGCGGTACTTAGGGCTTACATCTGCACTCAGGGATTGCTCCTGATGGGGCTCTGGGAATCATATATAGTGCCAGGGATTGAATCAGGGTTTGCTGCATACAGGGCAAGTGCCCTGCTTATTGTATTATCTCTCCAGCCCTCTTGATATTGTTGTTGTTATATTTATGTCTGTTAATTTATGCCAGTACTGTACTGTCTCACAAGGTACTTTATCATTTCACTTGCAAATTTTTGGGACTTGTGGGTTATTTAGAAATTTGCTGTATGATACCATAATTTGAGGGTTTTTTCCTCCTTTTTTCTGTTAATTTATAATTTAGTATCATTTGATTGAAGAACAAAGCTGTATGTGGGCTGGTGTGTGAATATTTGTACTGGAGAATACATAGTATTTGGATGTAAGATAATGATGTAGCATCATTTGTTTACCTATAGTTGTTCAATTTTTCCAGTATCATTTGTTGGAGAAACTTTCCTTCAGTGTATATCTTAGTTCCCTTTGTTGTGTATTTGGGTTAATTATTTCTGGGCTTGTTTAATCTATGCTTGTTTCTACTAAGTCAGTTTTAAAAAATCAGTGAGGGAGATGGTTTGAGGTTATGTTATGTCAGTTAAAACTTTTGCATTGATTGCTTTTGTTTTTGCCTTGGGGTAAGTATAATTACACACACTATATAAACATGTTGTTTTAAATTTCTTTTAGCCAACAAATGGAATATTCTTAAGTATGTTTCTGATTGTTTTGCCGTTGGAATCCATGGCTCATGGGCTTTTCCGTGAATTGGGTAACTGTTTAGGAGGAACGTCTGTTGGATATGCTATTGTGATTCCCACTAACTTTTGCAGGTATAGTAATCTAGTACAATCAGTAAAAACTATTTAACATTCTAGTATTTTATGAATATGAACATAAAATGTGATTGCTTATTTTTTTCCAAAGTTGTAATACCCTTGCATTGTTTATTTGCACAAGAGGTTTTAAAACCTTCAATTACTCTTGGTAAACATCTAACTTCTAATACCTTTATGGTTCATCTTAATTTTTCTTGATAAATGTGATTATAAATATTCATGTGCATGAATTTTCTCTTTTTGTTTGTTTGCTGTTTGTTTTGTTTTGAGGCCACACCCAGCTCTGCTCATGGCATTGTTTAGGGAACCATATGGGATGCCTGGGATCAAACCTAGGTCTGCCTTGTGCGAGGCAAATGCCCTACCTGCTATGTTTTCTGTCCAGCCCAATGTGAATAAATTTCTAAAGAAAGGTATTATTATCCTTTCTTTGGCATAATGTGGTAAATTATGATTGAATATACACTGAATCTGAGGACCCTAAATTCTAGTTGTTACCTTAGGTAAATCATAACTCTTCTGAACCACGGAGTCCTTCTCTGAAATGCAAATGATAAATGATAATGGGTTTCGCCTGTTTCAAAAGAATAGTTACAAAGAGCCAATGAGACTATTAATCTAAAACCACTGGCATTTCTATGATTTGCAAATGCCATACAAATACTAGGGATCTAAGACTGGCAATGAAATTTTAATCAGTGCTTGACTAAATTTATTTAAAAATAACTTTTGGCCCCAGCTTTATTAAAAGTTTTTTATATACATAATTAAATACTTTTTAAATTGAAAAAATAATTCTTTGTCATTAACGAATTCTGATGACCAAATTTGATGCTATATACCTTGGGTAGGTATGGAAAGATTCGAAATTTAAAAGTTCTTATTTCTAATATTTGATATAGAAATACAACATAGACTATTTGTGGCAAAGTTTTTTCTCCTAAAATTAAAAGGGCAGAGCTGAAGCGATAGCATAGCAGGTAGGATGTTTGCCTTGCATGCGGCCTACCAGGGTTCAATTCCCACATCCCATATGGTTCCCTGAGCATCGCCAGGAGTAATTCTAGAGTGCATGAGCCAGGAGTAACCCCTGAGCATTGCTAGGTGTGACCCAGAAAGCATATCGCTCATGTCCCGCTTTCTTTTACTTTTTATGACCATTTAATGAATTTGTATTAGTCTGTTAATGAAAGCAAAAATCACACTATTATAATGAAACAAAAACTTTCAAAATTTCTAATAAGCTTCTTTTTTTCTGAATAGGAATGATTTTTCCCCAGCTATATTTATAGTATTTTGATGCTGCTAATTTATGTCTTGATTTATCATCTTTATTAGAGTAGCCATTTTTAAACAAGACATAAATGATACAAGAAATTATTTATGCTAATACAATTGTAACACAACTGTATAAAGGCTGCCTTTTTAATAACAAAAAAGACTTTGCTACCTGAAAGTTAACTCTTAACATTTTAGGAACTTTTTGGAAAGCTGATCTTTTTTAAAGTTTCGTGTGCTATTAGTGCAGAGCAACTGTTTTGACTGCTAGATGATTATAAATAAAGGATAAGAATGTAACAGTTAATACTTCTTAAATGCCTTTTTTTTTTTTTAGTCCTGATGGCCAGCCAACACTTCTTCCACCAGAGCATGTACAAGAGTTAAATTTGAGGTCTACTGGCATGCTCAACGCTATCCAAAGATTTTTTGCTTTTCACATGATTGAAACTTACGGATGTGATTATTCCACAAGTGGACTGTCTTTTGATACTCTACATTCAAAACTGAAATCTTTCCTTGAACTTCGAACTGTGGATGGACCTAGACATGATACCTATATTTTATATTACAGTGGGCACACCCATGGTTCCGGTGAATGGGCTCTTGCAGGTAAATTCACTACTGTGCAAACAGTTGCTACTTTATACCAAAACTCTAAATTTCCAGGATTCTCCATTTCTATTTCACCATTTCCGCAGTCAGTGTACGTATGATTGTTCTTTCTTTTCTTTGGCATTCCTGTTTAGCATAGTTTTTGTGATCTCTAAAGGTTTTAAGATTTTCATCTTTAGATTAGGAAAAATGTGGATCTTGATCTGAAACTTATGCTCTGTTTCCCTTTAAAATATTTTCAGGGGCTGGAGCGATAGCACAGGAGGTAGGGTGTTTGCCTTGCACTTGGCTGACCTGGGTTCGATTTCCAGCATCCCATATGGTCCCCTGAGCACCGCCAGGAGTGATTCCTGAGTGCAGAGCCAGGAGTAACCCCTGTGCATTGCCAGGTGTGACCCAAAAAGCAATAAATAAATAAATAAATAAATAAATAAAAGCCATTTATTGTGAAGATGTTGATACCTATATATGTATAGATGAATAAAGCTAAACTCTTAAAAAAATATTTTCAGAAGTTAAGTCTTTAAAGGTAGTAGATGCTAAGTTTAGTAATCATTCACATGTGTGGCTTTATTTATATTGGAAAACTCACCACAATTTTAAACAGCAAGCAATTCTATGTGGTAGGGGTAGTATGTTTAGTCAGGAACCTTTGGTTCTATTCCTGTTTGCCACAGTAATTTTAGACAGATAACCTATCTCTCAGCGTCAGTTCTTTTGTCTGTAAAATGAAAGGATAATATTAAACGATCAGTGACTTTCATTGAACTTTATTCTAAGGCATAAAATTCTGTATATTTTGGATGCTTTTAGGCATTTAAAAACTTTATTTACATTACTGTAGCCAAAAAAAATGCTTTCATTTTTGTTAATGCCAAAATGTGACATTTCTAAATCTATATAAATTTGTTACTGTTTCAAACTAGAGCCCATGTAACAGACTTTATGAATTATTATTTGACACCTATAAGAGCCTTATACATAGTACAAGAACATAGAACAGTGCTTAAATAATTGATAGACAAATCATGAAAAATTTTTTATTTTATACTAGAAATAGTTCTTTCAGGTTTAATTAGGCCTTGATTTTTTCCACAAAATATTTTAGACATTTTATTCCAAGAACATAAAGTGACTTAGTCATAAAATAGAAATAGATATCGAGATCAAAGGAAACTATTAATGGAAGTTAATTTTTAGTGGAAGTTAAAGAGGTGAGATGTTAATCCAAAAATTCTGAAAGATAGGGACAGAGAGACAGTACCGTGAGAAGGGTACTTCTTGCATGCAGCCAACCCGGGTTCAATCCCCAACATCCCATATGGTCCCCTAAGCACCACAAGGAGTAATTTCTGAGCACAGAGCCAGGAATAACCCCTGAACGTTGGCGCCAGGTGTGGCCCAAAAATTTTTTAAAAAAAGGAAAAAGGAAACAAACTCAAAGTATAGAAGATTTTAAACCATAATAGTTTTTTTCTAATTTCATGCCTCATTTACAACCAGTGTTTATTCTAAAGAGAAGTATGTTTTGATTTCTTGTTTTTAAAAACTAAACAGTTTGCATCTAGAAGGAATAACGGCAAACACATTTGTTAAGCACATTTGAAGCACAACTACTGTGGTATTTAATATTCATTAAATTCAGTTGTCACTTAAAATCATTATACACACACACACGTAAAACCACCTCCACCATCTTCATTTTCCAGAAAATGACTTTATATATATATATATATAGCTGACTTTATATATATATGTGTGTGCATATATATATGTATATATGTGTGTGTACATATATGTGTATATACATATATCGAGATCAAAGAAAAATATTAGTGGAAGTTAAAGGAAAAAGGTGAGATGCTCTTCTTGTGTGTGTGTGTGTGTGTGTGTGTGTGTGTGTGTGTGTGTATGAAGCCAGACAGTTTTTAGTGAAACTTATTTAGAAACATAAGAGAGAACACAGACTTCTCCAGAGTAGAAATAAGCAAACAAACAAACACAGGGACAAGCTAGCAAGATATGTGCTCAAGGGAGAACCCGGGCTTGAAAAGCAAGCCTGTATTTGGCTATATTTATTGATAAGTGATGAAAACATGGTTAAGCCAAATCTGTTTAACTCTTCTCACTGCACCATGTTGCTGCCAGTGGTGAAATGGCATGTCCTGGTTTAGTAGGTATTGTTTGGGATCTTCACTCATTTAAAAAAAATTACTGTGAAATGTAGTTAACACTAAACCTTCGTAAGCTTGGGGCTGGAGTCAGGCTAGTCAGCTGCGCCAAAGAGATAGGACAGTGGATAAGGTACTTACTTTTCACAGATTTCCCCCGGGTTTGATCCCCAGCATCCCATATGGTCCCTGAGCACGGCCAGGTATGACCCAGAAACAAAATATTAAATTAAAAATAAAACTACATGAGCACAACTTTTAAAATTACTTACTTGAGGTATAACTTTGAAATAGACAACACTTTTTAATCTTTACCACCACTTCAATTCCAGGTTAATAATGGCACTCTGTGCACTTTGCAGCACAAAACAAAAAGTTCATCATCGTCATCAGCATGGTGTCCCCTGAGCACTGCCAGGAGTGACCTCTAACTGCCAGAAACAGCCCCTGAGTGCTGGGATGTGAGGTCCAAAAATCAGACAGTAAACATATCTAAAATCGAAACATCCAGTCATCACCACTGTTATATATATATTTATATATATATGTGTGTATATATATGTGTGTGTGTGTGTAGAGAGAGAGAGAGAGAGTCATAAATACACACACAGATTTTTTTCACTCACCTGGCAGTGCTCAGGGACTGTTCCTGACTCTGTAATCAGGAGTACACCTGGTAGGGAGAATTTGAAGTTGGTTTGCATGGCCATCGCTATCACATACAAAGCAAGTTTCTACCTCCTGTACTCTCTCACAGGCCTGAAAAAGATACTTTCGAAGGAAAGCTCTCTTTTTCTCACTTTTAATTCTCGGAATTAAAAATACATTTAAAGGGGTATTTCTAATGAAAAACCTCAGGAATTCATATTCTGTTGCCATTCTTTTCGATGCCAGGTGGAGACGTACTACGCCTTGACACACTTTTAGAATGGTGGAGAGAAAAGAATGGTTCCTTCTGTTCCCGGCTTATCATTGTGTTGGATGGTGAGAATTCAACCCCATGGGTGAAAGAAGTGAGAAAAGTCAATGACCAGTATATTGCAGTACAAGGAGCAGAGATGACAAAGACAGTAGATATTGAAGAAGCTGACCCACCACAGCTGGGAGACTTTACAAAAGACTGGGTGGAGTATAACTGCAACTCCAGCAGTAACATCTGCTGGACTGAGAAGGGGCGCACGGTGAAAGCGGTGTATGGCGTGTCAAAAAGGTGGAGTGACTACACGCTGCATCTGCCAACCGGAAGTGACGTGGCCAAGCACTGGATGTTACACTTTCCTCGTATTACGTACCCAGTGGTTCATTTAGCAAATTGGTTGTGCGGTCTGAACCTATTTTGGATCTGCAAAACTTGTTTTAGGTGCTTGAAAAGGTTAAAAATGAGTTGGTTTCTTCCTACGGTGCTGGACACAGGACAGGGCTTCAAACTTGTCAAATCTTGATGTGAAATCCAAAGTAGAGTATTATTGAGAATTGATACCATCAGTTATGACTAACTTGCCATTTTTTGTATATTGTATTGGGGGGCGGGGGGGGGGGCGTGGAAATTACCTTGCTACTTCTGTAGCGACTTTCAGTGTCTTTCAAATAATTATGGTATATGTAAGCGGTTGGGAAGAAATGTTTTATGCAAGAAGTGGGGAGTCATAAATACTGACTGTAAATGCATAACATGTTAAAAATAACAATGCACTTTGAGAAATGTTTTATATATGCCTGATTGGAAAGAAAACACATGTCTGCACTGCAGTGGCCTGCAAAGAATTACTAATGCCTTATTTTCTAGGCATGAGAATGTAGGCCAGTTTTTTTACTACTGGTAAGAATTCTACCAATTTGCTTAGAGATCACTTTTCTACCAACAGTAGGTTTGAGTTCAAGGTGGTTTGAAGAATTACAAATGCTTTCTAGAAATTGAACATCTGCATGATATAGAAGCAAAATTTGCTTATGTACATCACATTGAGATGTCTGGTTGCACAGTATTACAATTTAGCAGAGAAACTCCAATCACTCTCCAGATCAAAACATTCTTCATATGGTTAACTTGTAAATGCAGGAGCCCAGGAAGTGCTTCTCATGTATTATTGGAAGTGTCTAAAAGCACTGGTGATTTTAAGACTCTTTCTCAGGGTAACAGTATTTTCATAATGAACAATATTTCACCAACAAATTCCTCCCAAGTAAATTGTCTTCCCTTTCAAATGTTACCTTACAAAAAGTTGGCAGTTTCTCACTAATTTATAAGACTTCTGCATCCAGATATGATTTTGATCTTTGTAGATGAATGCTCTACCACAGAAATTATTTTTTAATTCCCCATTAATAGCTTTTTTTCTACTACATTTCAAAGAATTGGAGATAGGTCATTTTATTTTGCTTGTAACATGTATTATGTAAAGAAGTGTTCATATAGACAATTTTAACTAATTTTAATTTTAAGCATAATGGTGTAGTTCTAATTTTTAAACTTAATTCAGTGTTTCATTTGATTAAAGTGGGGACTTAGGGTATCTCCCAAGAGGTAATTTACCGTCTACACCCCTCTCCAATAATCCGTACATTCTGGGCTTTCATTTCTGGGAAATAGCAAGAGAAAAATAGAATTAAATTGGGAACTATTCTGATCTTCATTGTTTAAATGGTGTGACTTCCTACTATTGAAGCCATTTATCCAGCCTCGGCAAGAGGAAATAATGCCTCTACCACTTTCTACCTGACAGTTTAAAAACTAAAGTTTCAGTTAGGAAGAAGTGACTTAGTGTCAGGGAATTTATATACCACTATCTATGCAGCATTGCTATAGTCTAATTATTTCCATGTTTTGAATATGATTTACCTAATGCTTTGAATAAAATTTTGTTTTAAAATTGTTATGTATTGTGCAGATAATACTTGTATACTTTATTGTATTAAAAATTATACTCAGGGCTGGAGAGTTAGTACAATGGGTAGGGCACTTGCACATGGCTAGCCTGGGTTCAGTACCCAGTACCCCATATAGTCCCGCAAGTACCCCCATCTGTGAGCTCACAACTAGGTGTAAGCCCTGAGCACTGCCAGGTGTGGCCCAAAAACAAAGATACTAAAAAATACCCAACTCTCATAAGAGTTCTTGGTTAGTAGCAGGTTGGGATTTGGTTATATAATGATATCAGCATCATTCAGTGAAGAAGTATGGCGGTTTCTTTCTATTATGCTCTCCAGAAATAGAAGAGGCCAGTTTTAAAATTATGGGCTCATGTTTACAAACACACAAAAAATTGCAATGTTATAAACAAAATCAGTGTTACAGGGCCAGAGAGATGACAAAGTGGGTAAGGCACTTGCCCTGCAGGTGACTGACCCAGTCAATTCCTGGTACCATATTTGGCACCCCAAGCACTATCAAGAGATCTCTGAGCACAGAGACAGGAGTAAATCCTAGCACAGCTGGGTGTGGTCCCCACCCCCCAACTTATGCAATATAATTGTTTTTTAATATCTGAGCCAATAGTTAGTAAATTTGCTTAAAGTGTGTCTTTTCATGCTGAGAACGGCAATATAATGGCATGTTGTACATTCTTTTAAAAAAAAATTTGTATTTATTTTATGCCTGATTTATTCTCAGGACTTAAGGTTTTGCTTCTTCCTATGCATTCTTTGAGGATTATCACGATGGTACTAAATAGTAAATACTAAAAGGCCATTTGCAGCCACAGAATGAATATAGTGATCATTTTCTGTAAGAGTTCAACCAAGGCTCTGGGAGATGGTGCAAAAGGACTAGAGCATGTTTGTGGATCATCAGGTGTAGTTCCTGTTACCACATCATCTGTCACCAGAAATGAGCACCACAGAGGGAGTATCCCTTGAGCACCATTGCATGTTTTCCAAAACAAAAACACAGCCAAAGAGAGTGACAAGCCAATTTGCCAATGGTTTTAGAAAATCCATTTTGATGAGCTATCTGAGTAAATAAAGAATTATAATTACGTATCAGAAAATGGCATCTGAAAATTTTCAACTTCACTGAAGTGGTAAAAGGGGGAAGGAATATTATAGGGAGAAAAAATTGGTTACATTTACCTAAAGGTTAAAAATTAGATTCAGCAATTGACTTTTTATACATCTTTATTTTGTATGCATGTATTTAGGCAGGAGTTACTAGACATAACAAATTATTTTAGGAAAAAACTTTATCATTCCATAAAAAGAACCTGGAGATATTTTTTAGAACATAAAATACTGACTTAATTTCACCCTTATGTGAGACCTTGTTAAAACTCAAAAGCATTTCACCCTAAAAATAACTTTTAAGTGTATGGTGTTGAGTGATAATTGAAGAAGCCAAATTCTCTTCCCAGAACTTCAGTTAAACTGTTATTTCATTCAGACTTTTTATTTTGTTTGTTTGCTTTTGTGCCATACCTGGTGGTTCTAACAGCTAACTCCTGAATTTGTGCTCAGGGGTCATTGCTCTTGGGGCTCTGGATACCATATATGGTGCCAGGGATCAACTGAACAAGCAAGACAAGTGCCTTACCCACCATACTATCACTCTGACCCTTCATTCAAAACTGTTTGCTCTGATTAAATGTTTCCTCCTTGGGTTACTTATATTTATCTTTACATTGCCTTCTGTCTTGTACTTAAATACAAAATTCTCCATAAAAGTTTATTTTTTTTCCAGAACATTCTTATGACCAGTGTTTCCATACATTTTATGCTTTAAAAATGTTACATTGTTCATTAAAATGCATTCATGGATAGATTTTTTTCAAGTGAAATATTTAGAATCTATTTGTATTTTGTAAAATTTTATTTAAATACATTGTTTTGTTTTGGAGATGTCTTTTTTAAATTTATTTCACATTTAGAGCTTAATCTCTTTTGAAGTAATGTTTACACTAACTTTCTATAAATGATATATAGTAATTCTATGTATATCCGAAGGAAATGGTTTAATTTTTAAGAGTCTGATTGGTACATAATTATCTAGAAGTTTTTTTGACTAGTACAGGGGGTATTTTTAAGATGGGCCTGTGAAACATTACAAAGATGAAGGTGCTCGCCTTGCATTCATGCCCAACCCTTGCTCCAATCCCCAATAACACATGAGGTGCCCCTCTAGCCCTGTCAGGGGTCACTCCTGAGCATGGAGTCAGGAGTAGCTAGCCCTGAGCACAGTTGGGTAGGACCCAAAAGCATTATTGAGAGAATTAAGTTATAATTCTAAAGAGAAATTGTAACCTGATTATAAATTAATACATTTTCTTTGTAGTTTTGAATGAATATTTTCAGTATCTTCATTAAGTTAATTCCTAAACACCATTACAGCAAAAGGGAGAAAAAAGGGAGGGGGAGCTCATATTTATAGTTTTCAAGCAGTAAGTGGCAAGATCAATGAATGAAAATCTCACTGGTGTGGATGAAACATAAGTTGATGTCACCAGTAACTTCTTTTTGTGGGTTTGAGTACATTTTTATGACTCATAATTAAAGAGGGCATTTTTCATTGATTTCCCATTAAAGACATGTCGACTGGATCCAGAGAGATAGTACATTGGGCATGGCCGCTTGCTTTGCTCAAAACTGACCGGGATTGGCTCCCCAGAAGCCCTGGCTCTGAGTGCAGAGCCAGGAAGAAGCCCTGAGCACCCCTGGCCGTGACCCAAAAAACAACAAAAACATATGGATGGGATGAAGGAGGGTTGTCATAAATGAAATATATTCAGAAACAAAATCTGATGGCTATCTTGTCAGTAACAACTAGAACGTAAATGAGAAAAATGGGCCCATAAGTATATTCAAGTTAAGGACAATGCAAAAATTAAAATTATCTCAGTTTTGAGAGTATTTCCTCTGTACTTAGTTACAGTCTATAAAGTATAAAACAGTTAAAATTAAGCCCTTCCTGATTTGAGCAAATATTTTTTGATAAAGCAATTTAACATTTATGTTTGTTAGCAATCGTGAGTATTTCCTAGTATAGACCAAAACATTTGAAATTAAAAACCATGATTTAACTAGAGTTTTTTCTTTAATATTAATGTAAAAACCATTTTGATTAAAAATATGGACCAGTCACGTTGTGTGATGATCTCACAATTTTAAAAATATGAATTTAAATGGAAAATTTCAATGCAACTTTTTTATTTTTTATCTAAGCCAATAAATATTGATCTGTCCCAAATTAAGAATAATTTTAGCTTATGCCACAAATAAGCAACATGGTACAACATCCTGCACTTCTTCAATATATTTCTTCATATGGAGTATAAATATTTTCATATTAAAACATGACTACTGTATGGGGCTGGAGCGATAGCACAGCGGGTAGAGCGTTTGCCCTGCACACGCCTGACCCAGGTTCGATTCCCAGCATCCCATATGGTCTCCCGAGCACCGCAGGGAGTAATTCCTGAGTGCAGAGCCAGGAGTAACCCCTGTGCATCGCTGGGTGTGACCCAAAAAGCAAAAAAAAAAACCTACTGTAGCACTGTCCTCCCGTTGTTCATCGACTTGCTCGAGCGGGCCCAGTAATGTCTCCATCGTGAGACTTGTTACTGTGTTTGGCATACCGAATACATCATGGGGAGCTTGCCAGGCTTTGCCATGCGGGCGAGATACTCTCGGTAGCTTGCCAGGCTCTCCGAGAAAACACGACTACATTTTTAAAAATTTATTTTTTAATGTAAGTCACATGACTTTAGAACAGTTTTAATTCCTCAATAAATCATTTGTTATAGTCACTCCAGAACACTAAATGTTCTTTGGATACAACATTGGATGTTATAAACATTGCATACATATTTTTTAAAAACTCCTTTTCTCTTGACTTTTTTTTCCCCAAGATCATGTTCTGTCTTGAACTTGTATTTCTCTCTTCCTCCGCTTTTACCACTCTGGAGAGACCCATGTTCTCTCTTGAACATGTATCTCTCTCTCTCTGTCTCTCTCTGTCTTTCTCTGTCTCTGTCTCTGTCTGTCTCTCTGTCTCTGTCTCTGTCTCTGTCTCTGTCTCTCTCTCTCTCTCTCTCTCTCTCTCTCTCTCTCTCTCTCTCAGGCTCTCCCCTCACATCTCCAAATTTCTTTCAACAGAAAACTATTTTGTTCCACTAAAAAAATTGTGTGTGTAATTTCAGATAGCCACTATTGTAATGCAGTTTCCTAAGCTACTTCAGGGTTCCTTAGAATCCTTTAATATATATAATTATTTCTTGGGGGTTTTTAACCATTTTTATTGAGGGACTGGGTTTGCAGTGTTGTGAATTATCTTTCATGTATACATCTAATAGCACATTTTCCAGTTATCTCTGATGCTGGAACCTTTCTGGGGTCGGCTGAGCTGGCCAGCCACTCCTCCACAGAGTGTCTTCTGTGAAGCTGCCACCTCTAGTCTGCCCCTCTCTCTCTCAGTTCAGGGTTCCCAGCCATTTTGATTTCTGAATGTGTGTTGAAATCTCTCTTAGAAGATATCCAATTCTCTTTTCTTGGTGGCATGGTCACTTCTTTATTTGTTAACTCGATTTAATAAGAAGTAAATTTCAGGCAAATATGCTTTCTAAGAAACATTCTAATTGCAGGATGGTAACAAACAAACAACACTGTCCTCCCGTTGTTTATCGATTTGCTCGAGCGGGCCCTGTAACGTCTTCATTTTTGAGACTTGTTACTGTGTTTGGTATATTGAATACATCACGGGTAGCTTGCCAGACTTTCCTGTGTGGACGAGATACTCTTAGTAGCTCATAGGGCTCTCCGAAAGGGGCGGAGGAATCGAACCCCTCTCAGCCGGGCTGGCTGCGTGCAAGGCAAATGCCTTACTGCTGTGCTATCGCTCCAGCCCACAGGATGGTAAATACAAGCAAATTTAGATAAAGTAAATGGGCAGTGGGTGGGGGGTGAATTCTCTAAGTAAATAGATTTGCGTAGCTTTCACACTGAGGGCAAATTACTATCTGATTCTAGGGATTGGCAGTAGAACTGACCAGAAGATTTTGCAATAAACAACTGAACCAGAGAGATTGTACAGCTGGTAGGGTGTTTGCCTTGCACCCAGCAGACCTGGGTTTGATCCCTGACACCTTATGGTCCCTGAACCCAACCAGGAGCGACCCTGAATGCAACAGGGTGTAACCCAAACCATGTAAAGATGCAGTTAACCTTTTGGCAATATTGTAAGCTGGTGATATGGATCTGGTAAGCACTGTAGCACTGTCCTCCCCTTGTTCATCGATTTGCTCGAGCGGGCCCAGTAATGTCTCCATTGTGAGACTTGTTGTTACTGTGTTTGGCATACAGAGTACATCACAGGGAGCTTGCCAGGCTTTGCCACGCTTGCCCAGACTCTCAGAGAGGGGCAGAGGAATCGAACCTGGCTCTGACAGGGCTGGCCGCACCCAAGGCACACACCCTACCACTGTGCTATTGCTCCAGCCAATGTGGAACGATGTTCAAATTGAATTTTGCTGGTAAACAATGTTCAAATAATAGGAACAAACTAAGACATAAATGTCAGTCTGAAGATATTTCTAATGACCAGAGTTAAAAGAATCAGAACATTAAAATAAGCAATGGTAGTGAAAGAAAGTAGCCTATTAAGTATGAAGATAGATGTGCCCGTGCTGATATAAACAAAAGTTTAATGAACTGAATACTTATATCAGAACTAAGAGACATAAGTTTAAAAATGTTGACAGGATAATACTAAAAAGACACAACTCAAAGGAAAAGAGGGAAAAGGAGAATAAAGAACTGTTGGACAAATAGAAAACTAATAGCAAAATGTTAGATGTCAACTTAGTAGTTACTATATTACTAATAAGTAAAAGTAAAAGTAAAGTAAAGGCCCTCCCATTGTCCATCGGTTTGCTCGAGCGGGCCCAGTAACGTCTCCATTGGAGATTTTGTTGTTACTGTGTTTGGCATATCAAGTACGTCACGGGGAGCTTGCCAGGCTCTGCCGTGCGGGCGAGATCCTCTCGGTAGCTTGCCGGGCTCTCCGAGAGGGGCGGAGGAATCGAACTCGGGTCGGCCATGTTGGCTGCGTGCAAGGCAAACGCCCTACTGCTGTGCTATTGCTCTAGCCCTACTAATAAGTATATTTTAGTAATTATATTAGTACATGAGATAGTGGCTTCAATTAAAAGTCAGATGGTCAAACTAGATCAGTTTTAGAACCCCTGCACCATTGACATTTGGCATCACATTTTCTTTTTAATTTTATAATGAAACACCGTAAGATACAATTACAGACTTGCACACTTTCGTGATTATGTATCAGTCATACAATGGTCAAGTACCCATCCCTCCCCTCCACCAGTGCCCATTCTCCACCACCAATGTGCCCAGTATCCCTCCCACCCCCACCGTTGTGGCAGGCATATTCCACATTCTCTCTCTCTCTCTCTCTCTCTCTCTCTCTCTCTCTCTCTCTCTCTCTCTCTCTCTCTCTTCCCTTTTGGGTGTTACGGTTTTCAATATAGGTATTAAGTGCCCATCGTGTTCAATCTATAGTCTACTTTCACCACGCATCTCCCATCCTGAGCCAGCCCTCTCAGCATCCTTTGCTTGGTGGTCCCTTCTCTATCTCATTTGCCTTTTACCTGCTGCGTGTGAGGCCAGCTTTCAAGCCGAGGCATCACATACTTCTTGACTGTAGGAGGCTAACCTGTGCATCTCAAAATGTT